ATTTCAAAAGGTTGAAGGAATTCCAAAACATCTTTTATGGCATAATAATTATTATTTTCAATTCTACATACTATCTTTAGCTGCTTTTAAAAACGTTCTAGGAAAGTCCAATCAGACCAATTTAATCCCTAAACTATTCCACACTTTTAAAATTTAATTACCTAAAAATATTAAAAACTATTTAAAATAACTTGTTTAGCAGACTGTACAATAGCTATCTTAGTCACATGTAGCGCGTTCTCTGTCTGGGCGTCGAACACCTCTAGAAATTTGATGAACTGTAATTTGCCAATATAGTATTTCTGCGACACTGGAAGAGTTTATTTTGATATGATAACGATACCTTTTGCAGTTTTAAGGTGCACTTTCTTCAATATTTTGTTCTAGTATAATACCCCATTTAATTTTCCAATAGTGTTTCTACGCCACTGGCATAATATTTACATATTTTAACAATAAACAAAACAAAATTATAAACATAAATGATTATTACTACAAAAATAGATAACCAACCTACTTTTATATATTATTTACTATTACCGCATTTAATTTGACAATAGTTTTTATACGCCACTGGCGTAATTCATTTTGGCAATAAACATGCATTTATGACTAGTTGGCACGTGATTCTGATAACTTCTGCAGTTTTAAGCGCGTTATTCCATTCATTATGTTCTGGTATAGTATGACTGTTATACGTGAACAGAAAGGAATCACCTTCTTCAATATTTTGTCCAAGTATAGTTGTAAGAAATCCCATTTTCAAGGTCATGTATGCAATCTTTAAAATAATGATTAATTATATTTTATTCTCGAAATTAGTGTTATATTTATGCTTCACTTTCAGTTATAACTTTTATATGTCCTAACTTCCAATACCCCGCATGTATCTTTATATTGAAACATTTTTATTTTAGTCTCTATAATATATAAAGATTTTTAAAGATAAAATTGAATTAAATCGCCATGTAGACACAAAGATGTCGCGGTGTACAATATGCGGTCAACTTTTTTGTTTTATTTTTATTTTAAGGGCTAATCTGGCAGAAATACTACTAGTTACTTGTGGAACAGATTGCAATTATTAAAATAATTGTTGAACTTTTTTAATGTATTTAATTTAATCTTAAAACAGTCAAGTAAAATAAAATTTAAGAAACTATCAGTTACTTGTAACATGTAACTTACCATTATTTTTATTTCCCTTTAGGTTCTGATTAGTGCCAAAAGCGGTTGCCATGTAATTTTACTAAATTAAACAATTTGTATGTGAGATAAATTTTGAGTATCGTTTCTTAATTTTTGAGATGACCATACCCTTATGCATTTTCTAATATAATATGAGACTAACCTTAAATTTTAGCCGCATTGACATATTTATTTGTGTCAAATGAACTTTTAAAATCGTTTCTAGTTTACTCTCCAATCTCTGTCCTGTTGAGTGTCGCGCATCGTACAATTTCAAGGTGTCAAAGTTAGCATCATTTTCACACATTAGGATAAATCTAATAAAATATCTTTATAACCTACTAAAAAAAACTCTATATATTTACGATATGATCGCGGCATCTTCTTTCCCAATTGTGAACATTTCTTACTTTTTGGAAGAGAATATTTGCTATATTTTTCTATTATTATCTACAACTTAAAAATTAAAATTAATCTGCATCCCTCGAATCTTATTGGTCATCACGAACGAAATTGGTACCAAAAAACAATAAAAAGCGCCGAGCGTTGAAGGGTACGACAGCCGCGCTTCGACCTTGAGAAACGGAAGAAAAAGAAAATAGCATACCGCACGCGCTCTTCTTCTGGCAGTGTCATTGAAGAAGAGGGTGTCTGGAGGAGAGAGTTTCCATTGACCTAGTTTTCTTGTCGTTGTCTAGCTCGTCTTCAGCCGATTGTTGGATGCCGGTCTCAGTATCAGATGTGTGCCGTTCTCTTCCACCATAGGAGGCCCGGTAAACACAATATACAAGACATAACCACCAGCCAGCAATCAGTAGCCGATTGTCTGTCGCGACTTAAGAACTGATTTTGACAGAAGCGCGGGGCTCAACAACCCAGTAATTATCACGTGTCGGTATTCCGGGCGCTTTTTTTACGAATCGCTTTTTTTAAGTTATAGAGATATTTATATAAATCAAAAATATTTGTTTTCCTAATAATAAATTTAGGATTTTAATCAGACATTATAGTTTTTTGTTATTGTTAAAATTTTAGTGATTTAGTGGTGTTATAGAAAGTGTAAAGGATTTAATTGAAGGGTAAGTAATTTATAGAAAAAAATATTAATTTATTTTTGGATACATGAATACCAATGGGGTAATATATCAAAGATATCTTCACTAATAAAAAAAAGTGAAAATTATTTTAGGTAATTATTTTTACAATATTTTTGCAAATAAATAAATAAATCGAATTATACGTTTTATTATTACAAAAAAATTATTCATCATAAAAAGTTTACTTGTTTCATTTTATTTTTAATTTTTATTATTTTTAATTTTAATTATTTTTTTAGTTTTTATGAAATGAAATTTATTATGTATCGAAACGTCAAAAGTCTTATTAAACTTAAACCATTTTCTAAACCAATGTGTGTGTGTTAGGTTGGATTTTTTGTTCAGCGACTTTGTCTATTAGCCAATCTTTTATCTTCTCAACTAAAAAAATTCATTGTATTTAAATCGTTCGACATTTAAATTGACCTAAAATTGATAATCTTTTGTTGAAAAAGGTTACTAGTACAAGTTATAAGAATAAAGTGATATTTTAAATGTGCACTAACCAATAAAACTTTTAAAACTTATTAAAGACCATTACTTTTATACAAAAACAAATGCTTTTTAAATGGACGAGAAAGTTATGAATTTATAACTTTGAAATAAAATAGATAAAACATGGGAGTTATTCTAATTTTTCATACAAATCTACAATCTGCAATGTTTAAGCTATTTTGGTAACACCAATAAAAAATGTGTACCATGTGCCGTTTAAAAAAGAACCCTGTCAATTCTAGCCTAATATTAAGTTAAGTCTGAGCTTAGTATAAAGCTACCAGGAACACATTGAAAAAGATTAAAAAACAGAGCAACGGTAGAATTTAAAAGGGCAGAATTTGTACTAATTTGTAAGACCAATAAATTTTTTGTTCTTTCATAAACACATTACATGGCGTTTTCAGCTTATTATTACGCTATCAGAACCCACATTAAAAAAAAAAACAATTAAAAAGGACTGAATTTGTACTAATTTGTACCATTAATAAAACTTAATATATTTAACCAAACTATGTGAAACAACCTTTAATTGAATCGTTTATTTCAGAAAGGTATTAACTAATATTTTGTTACTTTTGAGAAAACGAGTAAAAACTTATTTGTAGTTTAATAAAATGTGATAATGTTATTTTTTTGACGTAATTAGTTTAAGATAGATGTTTTTTATGTTAAAACAGGTATTTTCGTTGATAATAATGACGAAAAAAAAAGGATTACAAAAAAATGCGGTTAGTACCTTTCTCAAATAAATGGAAAATATTATTTTTTTAAATAATCAACTGAAATATTAAACAGTGAGTTGTTTTTCTAAGAATTTCCCCAATAAAAACAATAATAATGTTTAAACATTAAAGATTTATTGAAAACTGTAACATAATTTGTATTAAGCTTGTAATGCAATTGCTTTCTTTTTGGAAACTTTTGTAGGCCATTCCAAAATTTCTTGATAGAATGGGTGATATTCCTCTGGAACGTATGACATCGCTTTACCTATATCCATTATTTTTGTTTCCAATATTGGAACTTTCTCTTGATGGGGTTTTTTCAGGCATTCTAACTAAAACTTTTTTGACACTTCTTGGCATATGGATCTTAAAAGTATGATTCTGAGCACATGACATATCCAGGAGATTTTGAGTTACAATGAAAATGGCAAAATTGCGACGCAGAAAAGGGTTGCTTTTGTGCCCTGGGGATTTTTTTGCTTAAAGTTTCCAGAGACATAACATTTTTTTATAAAATTTGGGCCACCATTGCTTGAAATCTATGATTACTTCTCCTGCAACTTCCATGACAGTAAATTTTTTCTGCGCACTTGGAATTATTATTTCAGTGTACTCGTGAACAGAAAATATATGATCGGAGCGCTTTATACGTCGTTTAATGACACCAAAGTCTCGGTCTTTAGGCAAGAAGGAATGCCCTCTGATCGGAAAAAATTGTTCTACTTTTTTAAATCTATTAGTTTCAACTAATGCTGCACACATGCGTATCATTGTATGATTTTTGTTTTGCCCGGGACAATTATTACTATAAAGACGTAATTCCTGGAAATTTTTTAAAATTTTACGTTGAATATAGTCCCACAGGAACGAGCATACCTCGTTTGGTCCCTTATTGGCAACACCTTCATGGTAAATATAAAAGAATGACTTCCCAGTCTTACAGTTGTGTAAACCAAAAATACTGACTGTTAGTTGTGTTAGATAAAATAAATCCTGGACTGGAACTTCAGGTAAATGAACATTTTGCATGTTATTACGACCAGGTCATTACAAATCTTGCACTCATTTGTAGATTCTTTCAACGACAAATAAAACTTTTTTGCTCTTCTTTTATGTACTGCTGCTGCTCTTTTAGCTGCATATCCTAGCGAAGGACTTTCTTCACACATGCAGCAAGTATCCACTTGTGGACAGCCATAGTGAATGTCGAAATGCTCATGAAAATAATTCACAAAGTAAGAATATCGAAATTTGATTGTTGGATATTTTATTTTGAACATATCAAACATAATTTTTATATTGAGTTTAGCATCAAGATATAGAGAGGTTTTATTGCTGTAATGAGTTTCCTTAACGTTGTTCTCTTCTGAAATAGCATTGCCTTTAATATTTTGTCCCCGCTTGTTATATGGAGTTATGTTTTGTTTAAGAAGATCTTTTAAACGCTTCAACCTTTTGATGCCAATACTAAACAAACTAAGAAATGCCTTTTCTCTGGAGTTCTCTGGATGTTGTGGTTGAGATTTTCATTTAATGTTAACTACTTCTAAAAGACCTTGCAAATATATATCCTGATCTTCCTTAGTGTTAAGGGCACAAAAGGGAGTAAAAAGCGCATCTTTTATATCATCGTTCAATTTTTCAAAGCATTTTATTGGACAACTAAAAAAAAAAAAAGGATGGCCCGTACATAATTACCAAAACAATTTGCTGATTGCAAACTTACCGGAATCCGTCGCCAAGCTTTCTTGCATATACAGCATTTTCCTTGTAATTTGCGTAAACCTTTCCCTGAACTCTGCACCTTTTGATTACATTCCTTTTATAATTTTTGTCATTTCTAACCCCTCGTTTCCTTTTCTTTGTTTCTTCCACTGACCTTTCAGACTGGGTATCGTCGGTATCACTCATAATTCTTATTTTCTTAGAGAACCCTTTAAATATACGCTTTGACACAACAATATTATGACAATATAATAATATAACAGCTGATGGCGTTAATGCTGAAATAAACCTCGGTGGCGCTAGTAGCCATTTATTTGGGAAAGGGACCAACTATGTCACTTCGTACCTTTCTCAAATAAATGCTCAAAACTAGGTCGAATTTACGGGCACTGCATATACGGAAGATGGTGTCTTTCTGCACTAAAAGATGCATTTACCTTAAAATAATGTAACGAGCTGAAAAACTGAAAACTGCCGAAAATAGTAGCTAGTCCCTTTCTAAAAAAAACGATTCAATTGAATTCAAATCTACTATAAAGAATAAAGTGATGTTCTGCACGAACAGAATCAATCGTTATTTTTACATAATAAGCAACATTATATGTAGGGTTAAAATATAACGTTTGAGATGTATAATCCTTACCATTCCTTTAGAAACTTTAAGAGTAAGGTATCATTTTGAATGAGCAAAACCAATCGTTACTCCTACATTAAAAGCCAACATGCTTTGTACCGTTAAAATATGTTTCAGATTTTGTAGCCTCTCCGTTTCTTCGGAAACTATCCCAAACTCCTATATTTGCCTCATTTTGCCTATTTTACATATGCTGATCAATCTTCACTGCTACATTAAAAGCAACATAAATTGTACTGTTAAAATAAAAGGTTCAGATTCTATACTCTCGCGATTTCTTTGGAAACTATCCCAAAATCATATTAGCCTTACAATTAAAGTATTCTTTTGCAAGAGTAGAATCAATTGTCACTTCTACATTAAAAGCAACATAATTTGTACCATTAACATATTAAGTTTCATAATTTGTAACCTCGCCATTTCTTTAGAAATTATCCTGAATTCCCACTAGCCTCAAAAGTCAAGTGTCCTTTAACATGAGCAGAATCAATCGTTACTTCTACATTAAAAACAACATAATTACTACCTTTAAAATATAAAGTTTTAGATTGTGTACCCTCGTCTTTTCTTTGGAATCTATTCCGAAATCCTATTAGCCTCAAGGGTAAGTATCCTTTTGCATAAGCAGAATCAATCATTACTCCTACATTAAAAGAAACAATTTTTACCGTTAAAATATCATGTTTCAGGATTTGTACCCACGTCGTTCCTTTAGAAACTATCCCGAAGTTACATTAGAATCAAGGGTAAGTATCCTTTTGCATGAGCAGAATCGATCGTTACTCCCACAAAGCACATAGAGGTTCCACCGTGACAATTTTTATGCTATTTTCTCCAAACTCTAGATGAGGCTACTGGTGAAAATATGATTTCTTCCTCCATTTTTATTTTTATGGGTGAAAAACTTAACCAAAGAATCCAAAGATATGACGTGTATTTATTGTTTTTGGTTATTCTGTTTTCCGTTTGATTTTAGTGATTTTTTGTTGGCTTTTGGTTTCTTCTTAGTTATTTGCAAAACTGTGATGTTTTGTTTTTCTATTTCCTACTGTGTTTTGCAATAAATTTGGAGCTACGTTGAAAATTTCGAGAAAAACTTCATTGATTCACCATGCATCATAAAAAGACAAATAGGTACAACAACTAATTGATAATCAATTTATCACTGGACTAGAATCCGAAATCATTTTTCATATAAGAGAGTAATACCTCCATCTGTATTTGGAAGGAAAATACCTATTTATCATTAAAATAATAGTTAAAAGGATTCACCTTTTAATCCAATACCTCGGTTAAAAATATATTTATTAAATATATTACTTTAGTGTTAATAAAATGTAATATCCTAGTCTCCCTACTTCACATTTAAATTATTGATATTTTAAAGATTTGAGATTAAATACCTATTTGCCCCAAGTAAGTATTCGTTAAATATGTATTATTATTTGTATTTATTTTTTTAAGAATGTTCTATTTTATTATTGATATATCTTATATTTATTTAATATAATGTGCAAAACCAACTCTCCACATCAGACCCCTTATAACAAATTAATTCCTCAAATTTGGCATAATCGACTTAAATTAATTTGTAAAATAAAAGATTCGAACTTACTAGTTCCATGCTTTATTTTATAAAATAATTTATGTGTAAATCATTTAAAATTTATTTTAAAACTACTACTTACTACTAAAAATTACAATTTGAATTTACCGCCATCTGTCAATTGTCATTTTAGTTCCTGCTCCAAACACAAGGTGGCGCTAATTTGGTTTAAAATTTTAATATTGGCGTGGGGTCTCTAGAAGATACGTGCTTTGTGGTTACTCCTGCATTAAAAGCATAATTTGTACCGTTAAAATAAAAAGTTTCAGAAATTGTACCCTCGCTCGTTTGCAATTTATATTATATTTTAACGGTATAAAACATGTTGCTTTTAATGTAGGGGTATTGATTGATTTTGCTCATGCAAAAGGATACTTTACTCTTGAAGCTAAAAGGAGACCGAGACAGTTTCTAAAGGAAAGGCAAGGGTACAAATTCTCAAACGTTATATTTTAAAGTACATATTATGTTGTTTTTTATATAAAAATAACAATTGAATATGTTTGTGCAAAAAGTTACTATACTCATTATAACAGATTTGAATTTAATTAAAGATTGCTTCACACAGTTTGGTTAAATATATTAGGTTTTTTTTATAGTAAAAATTAGTACAAATTCAGTCCTTTCCAATTATGAGGTTTTGTTCTTTTCTTGAATTATACTATTGTTTTATTATTACTTTTTGTTAGCTTAATATTAGGTTATAAACGCCATGTAGTGTTTTTTTTTTGAAAACAACAAAAAATACAAAAAATTATTGGTCGTACAAATTCAGTCCTTTTCAATTATACCTAGGTTTTAATATTTTTTAGTGTGGTTTCGATAGCTTAATTTTTACTGTGGCCCTGTTAGCTAAAGTGCCATGTTTTTATTGAAAACGGCACAGAGTACAAATTTTTTATTTGCGGTACAAATTAGTACAATATAAATACTAAATAATGTAATAGATCTGAATCGATTCTGCCCAGTTGGCCCTGCTAGCTTAAGAGAGGTTTATATTTGCTTTTTCTGCATTAGAAGATACCATTTTTATGCAAACAAAATCTGTCAAAACATCGTTGACGGTTATTGATTTTGCCAGGCATTTAAATATTAATTTTTATTCTTTTTATTAAAAAAAAAACCTTTCATTGGATAGATGAAAGAAATCGCTTTCAAAAGTTTCAAAAAGGAAAGGGATTTTTAAATAAAAAAAAAAAAACTATTTTAAGTACATAATATAAAAAGACGTCCGTTTCTATCTTATTTCGTTTAAAATGTATAAGCATTAAAATACGCAAAAATATAAATATATTAAATGAAATCAAAATTAAGAGCCTACTAACTGATACACATATTTAAAATAGCATCAGATAATTTAAACATAAAGAGGAACCATTTATTTAAACAAATTCATAGATTTTACAGTCCTTGCAACCCCAATGGAAAATAATGACTTTTATTTTCAAATTTTTAAACCCATCATTCTATATATTTTTTTGGTAATATTTAAATAGATAATATAATTCCTATGTCATTTTGATTAATTGAATTGACTGACTTTTGTTATTAATGGCAATGTAATATAATTTATTGCGCAAGCTAATTAATGGAAATACATTTAAGGCTGTTAAAATACCTATATAAATTTGTCATATGATAATGGGATCCATCTAAAATCATCAAAATCTTCCTTTTTTTATGTATATTCAGCGATAATTCTTTACCACTTTGACCCATTTCTATGATTCTTTTTTGTACATCGGGGGTGTTCCATGTACATTTGGTTAAGATTTGATGATGGACTCTATGAGAAAATAAGCAAACTCAATTTATGATAAAATCTGCACGATTTTGGAGTTGGTTTTTAAAAATACTTTTATACTTTCAAAAAGCGTAATTCATTATTATTATTTAATTTCGATTATGTTTTCTGTTTAACCTTTTTTCCGGTAAACACTTGTTAAACAAATTGATGAAATTATTAAAAAATAGCACAGGGTCGTAAAAAGTGATTCACAAGAAAAGTTTTTATATTAAACCGTGACCGATAAAGACAGAGATACGAGTCATGTTGGTGATAACTACGCAGAGCTCTGAATTACAAAGAAGGCAGCACCTCGGTTTTTAAAGCCTTTTTCTAAAAACAACCAAGCTACATTCTTGGGCTTACTTTAGGATCTTGAAATATTATAAAACTATTCTAAAAAACTGCTATTTTTAAATAATACGTGGTATTTTACTAGCTTCGAACAAGCCCAGTAGAGCACCTCGGTTTTTAAGTTTTTTTCTAAAAACAACTATGCCACATTTAAGGCTATTTTCAGGTTCTTAAAATATTTAAAATATTTCGAAAAGATTTACTTTTTTTCAATAAATACTATCATCGAACGAAACCAGAAGAGCACTTCGATTTTTTATTTATTTTTTTTTTATACCACTTTTTTACGCTCTTATAATATTATAAAATATTCCGAACAACAATTTTTTTAAAATACGGGATGCTCTGCTAACTTCGAATGAAGCCAGCAGAGCACCACGGTTTTTTTTAGTTTTTTTAAAAACTATGCCACATTTTTAGGCTATTTTTAAGTTATTTTAAGGCCATTTTTAGGCTCTTGTATTGTAAAATATTCCGAAAAAATTTGCTATTTTTGCTGGCTTTAAACTTTTTTCTAAAGACAACTACATCACATTTTTGGCTCTTTTCAGGCAGTACATTTGTAGCATTTCAAAAAAATTAGCTTTCTTAAAAACATATGGGCATGCGCGGCTTGTGGCCTAGTCTATTAGGAGGCTACTTTTGAAAGACACATTCTAAATATTTATTAAAAAAAAATATATATTTAAATTAGAGAAATATGTAGTATTTCTGCTTTTTGTATTTTAATACAAATGTATATGTTTAATATCTATGTAGGGTGTGCTTTTTAAAAGTAGGCTCCGTAACCTCCTCGTAGACTAGGCCACGAGCCGCGCCTGCTTATGACGTACTTTGCTAATTTGGAACTAGGCGTCGGCTATTTAATGTGTGGTTGTTTAAAAAAA